CGACGCTGCGAAAGGCACGACCGGATTTATCCGAATTGGCTCGCGGTGCTCCGCGTTCCACCTGCCTCGCCCCTCTCCCGGCTACCGCCCGCGCGGGACGCCCCGCAACCGAACGAAGCGGGCGAGGAATTCGGGACCGAGCGGGATACGGCGAGGGGATTTTTCTGAGTTATTTCCAAATCTGAGAACGGATCGCAGAAACGGCCCTGCTCGCCGCTGCGCCCCGCACCTGCTCTCGCTTCCCTAATCGAGCTGAACCAAATTTGCCATTTTTACCGTTACGCAGCCGGCGGTTTTTGATACCTTTCACGCCCCACAGGACGGGTGGAAACAGGAAACTCTCAGCAGAAAGACCCAGCGCTTGCCCCCGAGCTGCCCAAAAAGCCCAAACACGAGGAAATCAACAGGGGATGGTTTAGAAAAAGCTACAAAACCGGATGGAAAAAGGTTTCGGAATCGCTACGGGGATAACGCGGCGCTGCTGCGCGGGAGAAGCGGGTTTCTACGGACACGGCGCCGCGGACCGGAGGCGTGACAATTCACCGCTGCGCGTTTTCGGACTCGCCTTTGCCAAAACCGTCTCGTTAAAGCTCGCGTTGTGCGCCAGGTCCAAAAACGGGGAATTGGGGCAGTTTAAATATTCTTTTAAATGCTGAGTTTCAAAGTCTTGCCCGCGCGCACCTGCTTTGCTGGTTTACTCACGTTTTTAAGACGCGGAGCTCGGCTATCGGGCAGATACAAACGTGATTTTAGTCACGTTCGTGTTTAATTCACAAATCTGGACGCTTTCTGCCTGGATCGCCTTAAAACCGATTTCAGAGACGCCGAAACAGCCGCCAGCCGGGCTGTCCGCAGCCCCCGCCGGCACCTACGCGCGCCCCCGGGAAGGCCGCGCTAGCGCCGACTGCGGACAGCGGGAACGAGCCAGAACCCCGCGTACGTCGCCGATGAAGGTGGAATCGCCCGCGCTCCGGCTGCCGTTGGCTCTGCGGCTCCGGCAGACGCCGTCGCGAGGGACGGCTGCGCCCCGTACGGCGCGTTCAGGGCTTTTATCCCATCAGCTTCTGCGCGGCGTATCTGTAAAAATCCACATCCGCCCCGGCAACCTCAATTCCCGTGGTTTTTTTTTCCCAGATTTGACACGGAAGCGCCGCGCGTAAAAGTCATCTGCCTCTTGCGACTCGGCTTCTTCGCCCGTCAGCGCAGGAACGCCGTTCCTTTCCTGCGGCGCCAACAGATATCGTTGGACGCCGCGCGATCTCAGCGCCTTCTTCGCTGCTCCGAAAGCAGCGGACGTCGACAGGACAGGACCGAAAGCCAAAACTTTACCGCTGCGCACGCGGACATGCAAAAAAACAGGTAGGAAGGAGCCGCCGACGCTGTTTTAGGCAAGAACTAAGGCGTGATTAAGGTCAGGATTAACAAGGACAAGCGCGACGAACCAGGGAGGGAAACCGAGCGTCGCCCTACAGCCAGAGCTGCTCCAGACGAGCGTCCGTCCGTCCGTCCTCGCGTCGCCCCAGCCCCC